TCAGTACCATTCACAATGAGAGTTATTACTGATCAACACTGAATTATTTTTGTTTTTGCCTTATTTTCCTGTTGCTGATTCCCTATAATTCTCTTCTGCTTAACTGCTCACACTATCTGGTGGATTCATTCTGTTAAACATTTGGTCATTGTTAGCTTTTAAGGTTTTTTTTCTTCTGTTGTACTGGAGGAATTTGACTATGATTTGTTACAGAAATGCTCTTTACTGACTATGGCTATTTTGGGTTCTATATGACTCATTTATCTGTACATTAAATTCTGTCCCTTATTTAGAAAAATTTCCGCAATTATTTCTTTTTAAAATTTGATTAGTTTTCTTTTTGGAAAGGATTTTATATGTAATGCAGTGTTTGGAGGTCTTTTTTCATTCATTATTTTTTATTTTTGGTACATTTTAGGTACACAATATGTTGGCATTCATTATTGGGAATTTGTACCTTTGCATAAGATATCTTGGTTCTTATTTTTTTTCCCATTCCCCTGCCCTCCCTTCAATGCCTCCACCCCTCCATATTTTCAAAGATTTTGTTTCCATTTTTTCCTTTTCTCATATTTATTCCTTTCCCTTCTTTTCTTTTCTCCTACCCTTCTCACTTCCCCTTCCCCTTCCCCTTTGGATCTTTTCTTCCTTTTTCACATTATCTATTATACATTTTGATCCTTATTTACACTTTCAGTTATACACACCAGAGAAACTATTTGGTATTTACACATGTGTGTCCTATTTATTTCACTCTAGGATATGACCTCAGTCTCACTAATGAACACAGATGCAAAAATCCTCAATAAGATACTGGCAAACAGAATGCAGAAGATCATCAAGAAGATTGTACACCCTGATCAAGTGATATTCATCCCAAGGATGCAGGGATGGTTCAACATAAGCAAATCAATATATGTAATATACTATATTAATACAGCCAAGGACAAAACCAATATGACCATCTCAATAGATGCAGAAAAAGCATTTGACAAAATCCAACACACATTCAAGATAAAAAACCTACAGAAAATTGGAATAGATAGTCTCTATTTCAACCTGATAAAAGCCATCTATGAAAAACCAACAGCCAATATCATACGAAATGGCCAAAATCCTTCACACTAAAATCAGGAACAAGAGAAGGATGTCCACTATCACCTCTCCTGTTTAATATAGTTTTGGAAACATTAACCACAGCAATTAGACAAGAGAAAGAAATAAAAGGAATGGGGGCAGGGATTCAGCTCAGTGTTTCCTCTGCCTGCCTTGCAAGCCCAAGGACCCGAGTTTGATCCCCAGTAACAAAAAAATAAATAAATAAAATAAAAGGAATAAGGATAGGATAGGAATAAGTTAAATTACCATTATTTGCGGATGATATGATACTCTACATACATCTACACAGATAGGATACTCTACATAGAAAACTCCAAAAGCTCCATCAAAAGATTTCTAGATTTAATAACTAAATTCAGTCGTGTAGCTGGACAAATTCAACACTCAAAAATCAGTAACTTTCCTATACACAAGTAACAAACTTACCGAGAGAGAAATTAGAGAAACAACACCTTTCACAATAGCATCAAAAAAAGGAGAAATACCTGGGAATCAGTTTAATGAAGGAAGACTTTTACATTGAAAACTACAGTATTCTGCAAAAGGAGATTGAAGAGAATATCAGAAAATGGAAAGATATCCCCTGTTCTTGGGTATGAAGAACCAACAGTGAAAATGGCCATATTTCTAAAACTATTATACAGATTTAATGCAATCTCAAACAAAATTCAACACCATATCTCACAGAATTAGAGAAAACAATCCTAAAATTCATTTGGAACCAGAAAAAACCTAGACTAGCACAAGCAATTCTGGGCAACAAAGGCAAGGCAGGGGGCACCACAATCCCTGACCTGAAATTATACTACAAAGCTACTGTAATAAAAACAGCATGGTACTAGCAAAACAAACAGACCAGAGGATCAATGAACAGATTAGAAGATGCAGCCAAATACCTCAGCCATCTTATTTTTGAGAAAAGAGCCAAACACCTTCACTGGAAGAAAGATAGGCTCTTTAATAAATGGTGCTAGAAAAACTGGGTTTCCACATGCCGAAGATTAAAACTAGACCCATATCTTTTACCGTGCACTAAACTAAAATCAAATTGGATCAAAATCCAAATATTAAAACAGAAACATTAAATCTGCCAGAAGATAGAATAGGTACAACTCTTGAAGACACAGGTGTAAGCAAAGACTTTATGAACAAAAACCCCCACTGCACAGGAACTATCACACAGAATCAACAACTGGGACCTCATCTTATTAAAAAGCTTTTGTACAGCAAAGGAAACCACCAACAGAATGAAGAGACAATTCACAGAATGGGAAAAAAATTTTTCTAGCTGTTCCTCAGACAAAGGATTAATATCTAGAATGTATAAAAAACTCAAAAAACATCAGCCCCTCAAATTTAAAGACCCAATCCAAAATTGGGCATCTGAAATGAAAAGATACTTCTCAAATGAAGACGTAGAAACAGCAAACAATATAAGGAAAAAATGTTCAACATCCTTTTGTCACTTAAAATGTGTATTTTAGGTTATTATTAACTGTATTTCAAAGTAGTTTATTGAGCTTGGACATTAAAGGCAAGAACTTAGAGTTAACATTGACGTAGTAAATGAAGAAAAATAAGCTGTTTACATAGTGTTAAGAAACAAAACAATGAATGTGCCAACAAGTTGCTATTTATTTTTAAAAAATCTTCCCTGCATTTGAAAGCGAAGTTTATTGACCTTAGTAAGGGTGGCAGCACTCACCGGTGTGAATCTTCTCGTGCCTCTGTAGCAGGTACTTCTGTATGAAACGCATGTCACATTGACTACATTGAAATGGTTTTTCGCCTTAAAATAATTTCACATTCATAAATTAGTTAATGGATAAAACAACAGTTTTTAGTTACTATTTCTGAGGAAATATAAATCTTAGAAGCCCAAATTTTGGAAAACCCCACAACACCCCTGTAAATTTTTTATAGTTTTCATTAACTTAACAGTATTTTATGTCCTCTCAAATTTTCCCTCAGGATTTAGAACTTTACATTCTCATAATCACACAAAATGAGATTAAATTTGATCTATATCCTTCAAATTAAAAAATAATTTAAAATAGAATTTAGAAAGTTTATGTTGAGAAAGGACTCTACCGGTTAACATTAAATATCTCCTCTTCTTTATCCAGAGAAAGGGCATCCATCCTGCTTTCTGTGGCCAACTATCCCCTTTTGCCCTTTAACCTATTTTCTTCGGAACTTTCTAAATATCCCTTTTAAATGAATCGCTCTCTTCAACCTTCCCCCTCTGCCAAGGAGCGCTTCCTTTTCAGTGGAGTACTGTTTGGTCTGCTCCCACGCTGAGAAGCCTTGAAGCCTTGCTACAACTGAAACTCTCCTACTTTGGCACTTTCTCTCTTTGCTTGTCACTGTTAACACCTTGCTCAGAAGAGCAGTCTACTTGGGTCTCAATATTCATCATCACCCACTTGTGGCCTGACTCCATACTCTGCCTCCTGAAAAGCTACCTGAGATCTTGCTATTTATTCCAAAGATTTTTTTTTTTCTCTGTTCTCTAACTCTTTCTATCCTCTGAGGGTGTGACACTGTTAATCGTGACCTCCTTGGGACTGAGTCTCTCTTCTTTTGGCTTTTGGGCTGTTGTAGTATTTTTCTAGTTCATCAAACCTCTTTTATTTCTCTACCTCCCCCTCCCACCCCAATTCATCTTACATGTCTGGCTTGTTTCCAGAAAGATCAATCTTTAGTTTTGTTCTCACCAACTTCATGATCTTAGCTATCATTTTTTTATATTTTATTTCACAATCCATATTTCAAATTCTGTCTGGGTATCTTGCATAAAACAATGAACATTCACAGGCTTTTAATAATACATTCACCAAGCATTTCCTTGGCTAAAGGGAACACTTTAAGCCAAGTAAAGTGTCTAAGACTAATTAATTTTATAATATCAACTGATTGTTTTTTCATTCAAAGTCTTTGCTAGTTTCTTTCTGAGGTTCTGGCTTTATGAAATCTGACTGGCAATGCCAGGTTAGCTATGGTCTTAGGAATGGATGACATTTACACAAAGATGAAAATAACAAAGATAATAATTTTAATGGCTATAAGCCCATTTTAATTCAAGAAATACCTGTATGAATGAAGACATGTCTCTGTAAGTGATAGTTCGTTCTAAAGGCAGCATTGCAGTGCTCACAAACGTGAGATTTAGGGGTTTTCAAACCAAGTGATCCATCCTCATTTATTGTAAGGATCTAGTTTTAAAAAAAAGCAAAAACAAAAGAAAGAAGTTTTTTAAATGTAGTGAAATATTAATTTTTTAAAAAGGAGAATAAAAGCAATGGTCACCAGAGGTTATAGTATTTTTCATAAATAATCTTGAAAAGACTATTAGAATACTGTCATTATTAATTGTAGGAAAGTACAGTATGACTCAGAATGGGTAAAAATCATCAATAGAAGTTGGTAAAGTAAGATCTCGCCACTCTGCCTCCTCCCTGGTAAAGTTAATGCCTTACGGAGTCCCTAGTGTTCTCTGCCAGGGTTAGCATAGCTATATTTTCAATTTCAAACTCTCACATATGTAGGGGAAAAGTCTTATGTTGTAGACAAGATCTAAACATTCATCAGTATGGGACTGGTTAAACACACCATGGAAAATGAATACAGTATTATGTGGTTTTAAAATACAGTGGACACTCGAGTTACAACCAACCTGACATACGAACGATTTGGGTTATGAATGAAATTTTAATTTTAACTTACAAAGTCTTGAGTTATGACCCGAATATCGGCCGGACATTTGTGCTTCCAGATGGTCTCAGATATAGATTTAACTCTTAAAGGTTCTGGAAGGAACATTAAAGCATCCTTTCTTGTGTGGGGTTAAATGAGAAATCCTGGGCCAATGTCTCTCTAAGGACACTGAGATCTGCCTGTATACCACAGAGAGACTTTGAAGGCTGTGTAGAGTAGCCTGAGCCTTCAATTGACCAACTTGAGTTATAACCAGCCCTCATGAATGAATTGAGTTCATAAGTCAAGGGTCCACTGTAAAATGAGAAAACAGTATAGCCTTATATAGAAAGAACAGGATTTTCTAAGAAAAAAAAAGCTACAGTTTATTATAACTCTTGTATAATTTTTCTAACTTTTGTATGCAAAAGAATACATACAGGAATATACATTTATATATGTATTAAAAATTCTTGAGAAGATATACATAAAATGTATTAATCTTGGTTGTGATGGCTGAGAAACTGGGTACATAAGAGATAAAGAGGGAGGGAGGTTTTGCATTGTACACTTAAAATACACTTTTGAACTATATACATGCTTGCCTATTATACTTTTTTTTTTTAAAAAAAAAACAGAAAATTAAGTTTTCAAGTCATGCTATGGTAGAATTTGGAGTCTGTTTCAGAACAGGATGTCTAAAGTTATTCTAGAACTATTTCTACTGTTAAACACATTCCTAAAGATATTTGTCAGATAAATAAATCAGAGATAGGTATGGGGAAACAAGACAGGTGACGAAGAAATTAACCTTATCTTCCTGGGCTTCTTGAGATTAAGATTGTTATGAGCATGGTCTGAACAGTTAATGGAGAGAGAAGCTTACCTTGAGCTCCATATAGTCCCAATTTTATCAACAACTTGTTCAACATGCAACATTAAACCACCTGTCATCAGACACGTGGCAAAGTGGAAATAATAAATGATTATTTTTTTCATTATTGAGGAGGGAAACAAGACAGCAGAATACAACGTGAAAAAGCAAAGAAAACAAGAGGCTAAGATCAGAAAGGGCACGGCCAGCGAGAGGCAAACAATGTTGAATGTAGAAGTATTCAAAATGTGAGTTAAGAAACTATGTCCAACACAGGGAAGAGAATTCTGGAAAACATCCTAAGAAATGCAAAGGATGGACTGTGGAGACTGATTAGCACCTGCAAACACACAACTATGACCACTTCTCCAACCTAGAAAGGGCTGTAGATATGGGAAAAACAGGCTTTAATCATTCAAAATATTTTTTACTTTAAATTCATAAGACAGTTTACCTTATACTATATGCAAACCAATGGTAATTATTATGCAAATTACACAGGGCAGTTGGGTTCTGGGCAAACTGCCAATGTGATCCACAATGCTTCAAAGTCTATGGACCAAAATCATGGAAAGGAAACATTTGGCAGGAGAGTGAAAGTGGGTGTCACAGCTTCCTGGACAGTCAGTGAGAATGGAAAGTTTCATCTCCGGCCAGTCAATTTAAATTTGTCCAGCTCCTCCAGGTTTCATAGTAATAATGCAAGTTTACATCATGCAAAAAGAAAAAAACATAAATCCATTTAAACTATGATTCAAGATAATTCTAATATAAAGCAACAGAAAGATGTTAAGTATTTTCTAAAAACATAACTAAAAAGACAGCATTAGGTTGTTGGTTTTTTTCTTTACATATGTTGATAGCAAATAAGATCTGAGTGCCAAAAAATCATGAAGTTCAATAGCTTCCTGTGGCACAGCAACTGCAAGGAAAGGCTTTGCAAGGAACAAATCTGGCCACAGTTGCCTAATGTGAAACGGATGTAATTGCTGACTGTACAAAGCCCTTTTATGAACATTTAAAGAGTTCTAGGTCACTGTTCTCTGGCACTGGAGGTAATGCTGCCCTTCACTGTAGTATCAGGTCTTAATTCAAGGTGGAATTTTATGGAAATATGCTATGAAATAGCTATTATGAAACAGCTATCACTTGTCTTGGCCATTAACACACTGAAAAATCTAGCACACTTCTAAGTTCAGAGACAGAAACACCAAGTTCTTTGACCTTTTTTATTTTTCTTTTCTACTTTTTTTTAGCCCAGAGAAACAAACACCTTTGCTTAAAGGACAGAGAGTGAAATCAATCTTGCCTCAAATGATCACCAATCATCATTCCAATTTGTAATTTATTTATTTATTTTTTGCGGAACCGGGGATCAAACTCAGGACCTTGAGCTTGCCAGCGCCACTGAGCCACATCCCCGGCCCTTGTGATTTACTTTAAATGTATCCACATAATTCTGTCTCTTTTATTTACCATTATCAAGCCAATGTCCAAAATACCTCTGGAGCACAGCAGAGACTTTATACATAGTGACATGGCTGCCCATGTCAATGCCTATGCCGCTGCCTATCCCAAGCTTTATTCCTTTAAAAAATCTTCGCTGGAAGCAATACTTTTCAATTTTTCAGTCTTCATATCACCAAACAGTGACATAGAGGGGTGAGCACACAAAGAACAAAGTCCCTGTGTGGAACAAAAGTAGCACCTTGATGAAAACAAAACTTCTTCCTTGGTGTAGACTTGGCTTCTTTTCTTGTTCATGTCCTTTCAAGATCTTTTTAGTAGAATGGGATCTTGCAGTTGAGTGCAGCTGACTTAGATTTGAGCAGTCCTCCCTGCTACTGCTACCATAAAATATTTTTGCTTTTCTTTTTTCCCTCAATATATGAACACCGTTACAACAGAAGAACCTGAAGGTTGCAACTTTAAATCCTAAAATGCTCATCAAAGCACCTCTGGATACGTTATCTTGCCTGCTGCCATCCTTACTTCAGGAAAAATATGGTGCATTTTAAAGCTCAAGCAACCAGGCTGCAACAAGGGAAGAAATTACTAATAACCTGAACAATACTCAACACATGATTTTTTTCTAATTTGTTTAATAAATTTAAATCAGGACTTTACAAGAAAAAAAATTCAGTATCAAATGGAATTTTTTAATCTGCTTTCTTAAATATCATGGTCTACTCTAGATGTATTATTTGAGACAAAACTGTTTCCCCCAGCTACCTGCCATGTGTTGATGGTATCTTAAGAAAAACACCCATTTTTATCTGGAAAAGCCCTAAACTCTGCCTTTTCAATGGGGAGACTTTTCACTCGTCAAGGATCCCTGCCACTGAACAGCTGAAACCAGATTCCCCTCAATAAAAAAAAAGTGCTGCTCTCTCTTAAAGCAAACATGCACTTTATGCATATGCTACTAAAATTATTAAAGCATATTTTAAACTAATGACTATAGTTTTATCATACAGTCTTAAGTCAACTGAAATTGACTTTTAAAGCATCAAAACCCAAAAGACAACTTAGAATATAAATTCTCACCTATTATGATAAGTTGTTTTACTTACAACTCATAGTGCAGGATAGTGAGCTTTTAAAATTCTCCTTACTCTTCAAATCCAACTAAAAATAAAAGAACAGTCCAAAGAGAAATAATAAAATAACAAAGTCATGCAGAGCAATGACCCTCAAGCATGATGATCTCAGCGATGCTTATATTCCATCCTGCCCTCACACCGCCTCTTCCTTTCTTCTTTCGGGATTTTAATTATCTCTCCACATTAGATTTTACTCGTTACCAACTTGGGAGTGGGGTACTGGGGACTGAACCTAGGCCCTTCAAACAGAGCTACATTCCCACGCCTTTTAAAATTTTTATTCTTTATTTTAAAGTAGGTTCTAATTCGCTAAGTTGCCTGGGTTGGGCTCAAACTTGTGATCTTCCTTCTTTCAGCCTCCCATAGTGCTGGGATTACAAGCACGTGCCCAAATTTCACTTTTAAATAGCAAGCTTTTGACAGTGTCAGTAAATGATATTTACTGTATCATAAGCTCGATATAACAAGTAATGCTCAACATAATGACCCTGAGATTTAGAAAAGGTTAATTCTCATTTTCTGAATTTAAAACATGTGCAACTTTCTAAAGGAAGATTTACATCATCAAGATGTTTTTAAAAGGGTTCAGAGTTCCACAGAAAACAATCTATCTTGAACATACTAATTCCTGGGAAAAATGAGATAAGTAAAATACTAACAGATTATTTTGGTAATTTTCTTCCTTCGTTTTCTAATGAAGTACTAATTCATATTTCTTGTTTTCATTCCCAGTCTTACAATTACCTTCAAGGCCACTTCTTCCTAAATAAAGGTAAACATGTAGAAGAAAGTATGACAGATGCCTGGTACAATCATTTCTCTGCTCCTTTTCACTAAATTTTTCTCATTTATTACTAGTGAATTTTAAATCTTTTGATACCAAAACCTCTAATCTTTTCTGGGAGCCAATGGTATATAATAAAGTTCTGGGAAAGAATTTTCTATATATATTATAATCTATTAATATGTAGAATATGCTTTCCATCCTATGTGCAGCATAACTGAATAATCAATTTCTATTCAGACCACTAAAAGTGTTCTTAACAAATAAACCAAGCTTCTTTCTTCAGTACCTGACAAGAGAGCTGGGCATGTACTGAATGAATGAAAAAGGAAAACATTTCAAAATAAAGGGAAGTAATTAAAAGTACCTAGCTCTCTCATTTAATTGCTTGAGTTTGAAAAGATCTATAAAATGTATACAGAACTGGACCAGAACATTATCACTGTATTTTACTAAAAAAGATACTTAGAATTCATTATTATTAACCCAACAATCGTGATTAAAACCATTCTCAGGTTTTCTCCTAACTCATATAACAAGTCAATACTAAAGCCAAATAATAATACTTTCATTAACTTGGAAAATTCTAGTATCAAGGTTGAGGGTCCATCATAATCACCTTTTGTTCTTTCAGAGCATAGATACAAACAAATCCCCGTAATAAGAATCTGCAGAGATGGAGCCTGGGCTTCCCTAAAGGGAAAGAAAAGCCCTGCAGTCAGGTGACAATGCCAAGCCAGAGGGAGAACCACACACTAAATGCTATGCAGTGGGATTAAGTTTACAGGTCTTTTAAAGGGGGTGGAGGGCTAGCAGTGAAGATTAAACCCAGGACCTTCACACTGACCCACACCCCCAGCCTTTTATATTTTGAGATAAGGTCTCAAAGTTGTCCAGGCTGGCCTCAAACTGGTGATTTTCCTGCCCCAGCATGCCTCACCACACCTGGCACACCTAAGCAGACATTTCACACACTTCCGATAACTTTAGCTATCTAGATCCTAACCCAAAACACAAGTAATGTGAGTGGCAAAAGAAAGTAATATTGAGTAGCCATACAGATGTAGCAATGTTAAAATGAATCACATGTCCTTAAGGAATGAGACAGTGAAGCAATCAAAAAAACACCAGTCTAACACCTAGGAGTTATCAGGTTGAGGGTGGCAAAAAGCCCTAACTCTGCAATCTCTGAGGGCTCCACTGTAATACATATGATTTTTAAAATACTTATAGCACCAGCACCAAGGGACTGAAAGTTAATTTATGTTCAAGTGCACTATATTTAAAACAAAAATACTACAATAAACATTTCAATAACATAATTAAAATAAAATGAAATTTGGGGCAAGGGATGTATCCGCGGTAGAGCACTTGCCTAGCAGGAATGATGCCCTAGATTCATTCCTCAGAACCCCCCACCCTACCCCCCACCAAAAGATCTGACCTTTGAAAGAGCCAGGCTTCTAAAAAGTAGGAAATTTACTTTCATACAACAGCTTATTCCACAATGTAGTGAAACTTTGGTCTAGGTGATATTCCATAGTTCAATTACCCTCTTCCTAGACACACTGCCAAATATACAGTGGCAATTTTCAAGTATTAAACCTACCTTAAGATAACTAGACTTTGCCACATACCGAAGGTTCAGAAAACAATTACTGCTTAACATCTTTGGTAGCTAATGACGGTGTGACAATACACTATTTCTTACCTCAAAGGTTATCTTGAAATGAATCACATTTATCTGGAGGTTTATAGGCTCTGTGATTTGTTCTTACTAAATAAAAGCCTATCAAATTCCTTTATAGTTCCTACACAGATCCCCAACCTGATACAAGGATACACATGCTCATAATATTCATAATGGCAAAAGTTGGCCAGGGATTTAGCTCAGTGGTTCCGCCGCCTGCCTCGCAAGCTCAAGGTCCCAAGTTTGATCTCCAGTACCAAAACAAAACAAAACAAAACGGCAAAAGTCAACTTGGAAGAAGTGTTGGCAGAGTGGAGTCTTCTAAGCATGATGAATTGTAATTCTCACACTCCTGTCTGTGTATTATTTCTAGTAACTTCATTGGCCTAAGAACTCCCTAAAGACTGCCCCCCAAATACCTTTTTCTTTTCTTTCGGTACCAGAGATGGAACTCTGGACTTTGCACTTGCTAGGCAGGCAGCGACACCACTGAGCTAAATCCCAGGCCCCCCAAAATATTTTCTTATATACATTATACTTAGGCCAAAACTCTCAGAAACTTAAAGCTGTTTTTAAGGAATTTAAAACAAGCAACACACTGACTTACAAACCTAAGACAAACTCCTCTTTCTCAACAAAGTGTCAGAATAAATTACTTTGATGAAAAATCTGAAGTGTAATTTTAACACACTCCTGAGAAAAATGTAAAATAACTCAGTTTATCCCCCAAAATTCTGAGATTCCATACACACACACACAAAAATTCATTTGGAAACTGCAGATCAGTGTTTAAAAAGTGTCTACACCTATTCTCTGTCCCATTACATGCAACGTGTGACAATGATTTAAAAATAAGTGTTTTCATTATTCCCACACCATCTGCTATATGTTATTTCTCATCACTGCACCCTTGTAAGAATTTCCTAAGACACTGCCTGGCTCTGTTTTCTTATACTATTTAGAAAAGGCCAAGTTTTTCATTTGGCCACTACAAAGTTATATAAATGCTTAAACAGTATCTTTACAAATACATTTATCTCAAATTAGACAAGACGAACTCTAAATAGCTAATCTATATTTAGAAAACAACTAGAATATCATCACCAAATAAATATTCTGAGTAATATCCTACTAGAAGATAATCTGGGTTTCAGTCAAAATTTCAGATATTACACTACAGGATAGCGCTAGAAAAATATGGTAGTAAAATATCCAGGAAAATGGAGAACATACACATATCATGTTAATTTAAAACCTTAAAATAGATTCCCCATAAATCAGCAATGAACATAAATACACTCACTATCACAATTTTAGAAATTGATTTTTTCCTCAAACCATGGAGTTTTCTATACATGAGGAACTCGATTAACCCATTGATATAAAGAACAAAAACTGTACCACATAAAATACTGGGAAAAACATTAAGACACCAAGAAAAGAAAGAAAGAAAGGGTTAAAAAAAAAAAAAAGGATTTCACGAAACATAAAATGCCAATAAAAATGAGAAAACCAACCTTAGAATGACCAGAAACTAAAGAAATTCAAATCTGAACTCTAGTAAGACTCCCATCCTAAACTCTAAAAACAAAGGCTGACACTGGAGGCTGCTGAGGGTGTACACGGACACACGCTAGGTCCACTTGGCTGGGAATGGAAGTGGCGCAACACCTCTGTAAGGAGTAACATTATCAAGAAATCTTTTTAAGTTCATGTTTTTTTGAGTCAATCGTGCACAATGATAAACACACAAACATTTTAAGTGTGGTATGATTTAAAATAGAAACGAAAAGAACACAACTTTCCAAGAACACTAATGGCCAATACAGCAACCATTACATATAATATGACATAACACAAAAAAAATACTATACGGCTAATAAAAATGTTTATTAAAAATCATTAACAACTTTTTGTTGTAAAAATAGTTTATACACACTTTAGGAAATTAAATCTGTATCTACATATATCCATAAAAACCTGAAAAACTAGATACAAGGCAGTTATCTCTTAAAAAAAAAATGTAACTACAAGTTACTTTGTCTCTACATTTCCAAAATTTGCTATATTAGGAATACATTTCCCAAACCAGTAAATATTTAACAACCAGTTAGAGAATGAGAGGGCTGGGAAACAGTTGCTGGTTTCCATGGTATGACTATTCCCACCATGGCTAACAATAAGCTACCAAATGGTTTTAGGAACTGGATCACAAAATTCCTTAAGTTTTAGCAATCAGCAGCCCTGCAACCCAGTACAAGCTGCCCCAGCAATACCAGCATCCAAAATCACACAAGATGTGTAAATAATGACTGTGAGTCAAACCACAATACAGAGAGTACTGTCAAAATAACCATCTTACATAATATTTTAAGAAAGAGAACAGCCTTTTTCACTGCATAAGCAAAGAAAAAAAAAGGATGGAAAATAACTATAAGGATGCAAATACACTACAGAAGTTCACAGTATTCCTATAAGTACTAAAAATGCTACCCAGTGAACTACCACTGTGCTAAAGAGAAAAACAAAAGCAAAGCAGATAACTCTTGGTAGTATTTATAGTAGTATTCTTTATCTACTAATCCATTCATTCAGTCATAATATTAAGAACACACTATGCCTCCTAACATTATGCCTCCAGGTTCCTGGGGTACTGCTGTAAATAAAATGAAGTTCCTGCCCTTATGCACCTTTCAGTCTTTTAGGAATATGTTATAACCTTTTTCTGATGAATAACTGTCATGGAATATACATGAAACCTTAATATTAAAGTAAGTAAAACTAATATGAATGAAACACAAAGGTATGGCATACCATCAGTTTTTAGAGAAAAAAAAGAAACATGGGAAAAGAAAAGTCTGTTAGAAAGAAAAGAGGAACAGGATGAACAGGTAGAAAAATTCAAAGCCACAGCCCACCACCTCTGTGCAGGCATATAATCCTTGATCTTTGCTAGTGAAGCCAGTACCTCACACAAACTTTACTAAAGCACATAACAATTTCACAGCGCCTCAAGGTGCAACCCAGTTCTTGCCCACACGACAAACCAACAATTTGGGATTAAAAGGTTAGTGACGGCCGCTTTAACATATCCTCTTACTTTTGCAGGAGAACGCTGTTTCCGCTTCTTCTTTTTCTGTAAGTCTACTGGCTCTCTGATTTGTTTTTTGTCTCTCATCAGCTGCTCTGATACATCAGTAAAAGTAATTTCCTGCTTTACACTTATCTGTTTAAAAAAAGAAAGCCAAATTTAGAAAGGCATAAAAGGTTCATTGTGACAAAAATTCATTGTATGTTTAATCCTTCGCTGAACCTACAAATAGGTGCCCCTCGGTGACTTATGTGTGTGTGCATCAACTACAGAGCGCTACAGAATTCATTAATAGTTGAGAAATAAAAATCAAGGATATATAAACTGAGGGGGAATTAAGATTTTTAAAATATTTACCATTAAAAAGATTAAAGATATCCTGGAAAAATATTATTATAAACAACCTAGTGGAATACAACCAAAGATAGAACATAGCAATATCAATTTCATTCCTATATACAGGGAACTGATACTGAAGTTACAAGCACAGAGCAAGGTTAAGTTCCAAAAATCAGCACAATATTGGGCGAAAAAGTAAGCACTGAGACATCTCCATAGGCTCTCTTTATCAGGAAAACAATGCAAAATTTAAAAAGTATTCACATCAAAAGTGTGCTCAACATTGACAGGCAATAGCCAGTATTTTCCTCGCCTTCACAGCAGCCATCACCAAATATGTGATCATAAAATCTCATATTTTAGGGCACTACTCTGCACAAGACATGATGCTTACAATAAATAAAGACATGAAGATTTCAAAAATGTTCCATTTTTAGATCTCAGCTCTCAGAGTTACTTGTCCTAAGAGAAACACATCAAGGTGTTAAGGTCATTGAGGGTATAGTCAATTCTCGTCAGATTTGATGGCATTCGGTCCTCCCTCTCATTGTAACACTTTCAATTGATCCTAAATAAAGACACAAGAATCTTTAACTTTCAACTCAATAGGCTATGAAATATAGGAAAATTCTTTAAGAATCATCTGAGAAGCTCAATGTGCTAATGACTTACATTTTCCAAAAAAATACATCAGAAAACATGGTGCAAAGATAATGAACATCTTACAAATTCAGTATAAGCTGGAAGGCACTTAAATAGCTCTGCAGAAGGGGTTCATGAGTAATTTGCTTTAACATAAGCTAGGAATTTCAGACTGACAAACAAGTTTTCATGAATTCCTGAAATGTGGGCAATGCGAGAATCACAAATCAAGAAGTGTGGCACCAAAAATATGACACAAATGATTATTTAGCTAGTATTATGAGGTAATAGACAGTGACCACTCTTGTGGTTTCTTTTTTATATCAATTCTTTAAAATAGAATGGTAAAATCACCACCAACAGGCCTTGGTAAACAGGTGTCTTACTACCTCTAAAGTGATCTTTATTGAACACAACTATACACTAGGCTGAGGATGAGATGAAAACAGAGACTGTATAAGTAGCTGTGGGCTAGCATGGCTTTCCTCATGACAGCCCACCCTGTGTCCTCCAGGGTGTACTTTTATCTTGCTTTTTCCTCTTTTACCCAGCCCAAGCATTCTGCAGAGCCAGTTTTCCCCTCACTCTTCACTTTTACTTTTTCACATAAACTTTGTCAAGAAAGAAAGAAAGAAAGAAAGAAAGAAAGAAAGAAAGAAAGAAAGAAAGAAAGAAGAGAGAAAGGAAGGAAAGGGAGAGGGAGGGGAGGAAGGGAAAGGGTAAGAGAAAGAAGAAAAGAGAAGAGAAGAGAAGAGAAGAGAAGAGAAGAGAAGAGAAGAGAAGAGAAGAGAAGAGAAGACAATACAAGACAAGACAAGACAAGACAAGACAAGACAAGACAAGACAAGACAAGAGAAAAGAAAGAGCAGCTGTGGAGTTGTCTTGTCTTACTTTGTAGGGGCTCCAAAAAGTAACTCACAAGTTGTAAAGAAAACATGGAAATGTAACATGAAGCAATAAAAAACAGAGAAACTTTGGTAAGTGTCAAGGAGAGTATAACACAGATTCAAAAGTAAGCCTTGAAATTAGCAGCTATTCACAAACCAAAGAGTAGCCCTTAGGTGCAAACAGTAGAAAAAAGATGAATACATATATCTGAACATTTTAGTTACTTCCACATATAGTATATGGAAGGAGATTATAGTAAAAAGATCATCTTCAAGTACAAAAGATAACTTTTTTTTTTTTTTGGTACCAAGGATCAAACTCGGGACCTTGCGCTTGCAAGGCAGGCGCTGGAACCACTGAGCTAAATCCCTGGCCCAGATAACTTTTAATATTATTAAAGCATAAACTAAACCTGCCAGTACCAGTGGATCAAACCATAGTGATTATACCAGTAAAAATTTAAAAAACCATAGTGATTATCAATAGACATACCATAAGTTACATTTTTAGAATGTTCCAATAGGTTTATCATTCATTACTGGAATAGAGTGCTCTCTCTATATCACTTCTAACCATACTCAATAAAGCATTTGGTCTCACCTAAGGTAGTCAGAAAAGATGTTGGTACATATAAAAACATAAAAAGATGAGTATGGTAATGATAGAACAGCAAGAAAAAATGAGTTGCAAGAGTCTGGAAAAACTTATGCCCAATGAAGGCTACAATAGTGATCTACAAAAATAAGAAAACTTATGCAAGACAGGCAAAGAGATAATCCATTCCATTACTTAACCTTTCCTTAAGAACTCTCTTTAAAAGGAAACCAAGTTCACAGTATTACTTTTGACAAAAAAGAAACCTAAACATAACACAGAAGTAGGTCCTAGAATGTGTTACTTTTGTTCTTCCTTGAAAGTTCTTAAATGTATCTCTTTATTCACCTGACCTTAAACCCTGCCAAGCCTGGCGGTGCATGCTGTGATCCCAACACTCTGGAAGCAGGAGGATTGCAAGTTTGAGCCTAGTCTGAGCAATTTAGTGACTTGACAAGACCCTGTCTCAAAATTAAATAAGTAATTAAAGGGCTAGGGTTGTAGCTCATGAAGTCCTTGGATTCAATACCCAGTACTGTGAAAGGTGGTGGTGGGTAGAGACTTTCCTTTGATTCATAAGCCAAAACTCTAACTGAAGCCCAAACTCCAAAATGACTTCCTTTTCTAACACTTATTTCATTCTGGCCCCCAAATTAATAAATTTGTCCTACTTTTATATTTAACTATTTCATGTACAAATAAGACATTCTTCACTGGCGTTTCCCATAACACCCTTCACTTATTTATTTATTCAACAGCTATTAAATGCCCGCTTTGTGCTAAATTCAATCAAGCTTAAATAACAAAACAAAAATATTTACTGAGATCCTAACACTCTAGATATGCAGAAACCACTCTATGAAGTCTCATTCGCAAAAGACTTGAAATGTAGGTGTGAAGTTCTAATGCATTATTTAAAAACCAAATAATTCAAGACCCCACATGTCATTCTCCAAGTAAGTGAAAAGTATGAAGAGTAAGGGCAAGAATTCTGAGGGTGGGGGCAGTATAAAGGTTTGAAATAACTGCAAGCCTTATGCATGAAATGAAAGATTAAAACTTTATCATTATATATTCTCTTTTTCTTCTAAACATGCTATTCTTCCCACCTTCCTTGTTGCAGACTCAATGTTAATAAGTACTATCACAAATACGTTACCGGATATAGTAACGAGGAATAAATACAACACCTGGTTTGCAAATTTTGACCTATTCCTCCCCTCCCCACCTTCCAAACAAAATGGTAACTGACTTGAGGGATCACTTGGGATTCTTCCCTTTTTTTATTCCCAACATCCTACATGTACATTCAGAGACATCCTTTTCACTCCAACTAACTTTATCCATCTCAAGGACTTAGGGAATTATCTCTCAGTGTATTCTTCTACACATAAACTGACATAAAACTCTTTTCTTGTCATTTCTCAAGTGAGGAACCTGTTCCACTCCACTCTTCAGCTCAGGTTCAAGAAGATTCTATGTGATCTGCTTCACAAAACAGACCTAGGAAACTTGTCAGAAGTATCTGTCCTTAGATCTCTCTTCTTCATTGTGAAGCTTTATGTTCCTATCAGTTTTATTTCAATGTTTTATCATTCTTACTTATACTTCACCCACTGAGAAAAGATACCTTTCTGCTCTCCTCTGCTCTCTGCTAAGGATTTTGTCCCCGCCCACTGCCAAGAGATTTACTGCTTCACAGCCCCTTCTCTCTCTCTCTCTCTTTTTTTCCCAGTACCAGGTGAACTCAGAACCTTGCACTTGCAAGGCAGGTATGCTGCCACTGAGCTAAATCCCCGGTTACAGCCTCTCTTAAGTGTCCTGACTCCATCACTTACTTCTCTTCCTAAAAGCACAATAAAATTCTCCCTACAAAATAAATCCTTGTGGACCAAATTTTTCTAGCTACTATCCTTCATATGGCCACTCTGAAAAAAGTATCTGTACTTGGCATATAAAGACAATAATGGTCCCAAAATTTAGAAAAATGGCTATTCTGAGTGTAAAAGTAGTACACAGACATAGAAAAAGGTTGTGTGTAGATATCACCACAAGGAATCTGTTTCACAACAGTGCCTAGGAAATGCTCAAGTTGAACTAAGGTGACCACAAATACAGCAAGTGTTTAAAAAGAAAGACATAATACAACTATACCGCAAACATACAGTTTAAAGGAAGAATGTTAGCAATATTTGAGGGTACTTACAGAGTACAGAACATGAGAACTGTCAGTGTGTGTCTGGGTATCACAAGGATGGTTTTGGCAAGAACAGTTAGCTATAACCAGCCAACAGGAGGATGTCAAATTCCAAGCTCACAAAGTATAGGGCAGGGAGGGAGTTGAAGTAATAAATTGATAGACAGGCCTTTGTGAATCATAAACCTTTAATCTTCCTTTCTGCCTTACCCATGAGCACAGGCAAAATTTTGAAAAGAACTACATTTTTCAGGATTTTGATTTTGAACAGGTCAAGGGATCCACAGTCAAACTATTATCTACCTTCCTATTACATTTCTTATACATTCTTTACATTTTGGTTGTTGTATTAGCATCTAGTAGTCTAGATAATATAGATGAAATGGAAAGTGATCAAGATAAAGAGTTTCAGTAAATCTACATCAGTGGTTCTCAAATGTAGGGACTCCTGAAGGTCCCTCACTCCCTTTCAGTG